TTTATGAATCTGTTATATTAATTAAATCTGTTACAATCAAATTTTTATGCAAAATGATATGAGAAAATATAGTGTTTAAACTTATTGTAAACATGGTATTTATTCTGCATATTCGATATTCAATCTGATGTTATGTTTCGTGAAATTTTTGGAACAAATATCCATCGGACAGCGGCATTGCATTGCAGTACAGTCCTGCACTCGGTCAGATGAATTCACATGCGCACTACATGGTCAAAACGTGTGTGAAAATCGAAGAAAAAGAACGCCTTGTGGAGCCCACTATCCAAATATACGCCGGATTTCGACGTGACACTGCAATGAATATGCACAAACCGCCTTTCCTTCCCTTGCATGCATAAATTGCATCAGTCAAGTCTTCTTCCCACTTTCAATGCATTTTCGATGTTTGTGTTTTGTACGTATCTCTTTTTCTTTCTCATGAATCATGACTCGATTCGATATTCTCTACTTCGTGAACTCTCTTTTTCTCTCTCTATAAAGTTTGTGTTGCTGTATATTTTCCATGTTATTGTGTTTGGTAAACTTAAGGTATGAATTTGCCTCTTTTTGATATGGGTTTTTTTCTGTTACTGTTTTTTCTTCATTTTATCCTTGTGGATTCATGATTATTTTGATGAATTGTGTTTCTTCTGTATATTTTGTGATGTATTTCTTTTTCTCTCTCATGTCTATCTCTAGAATATACACAGACACAGTACTTTCTACTCTATAACCCGATTTTTCTTCTTTCTGTACATTTGTGTATTGCTGTATATCTACATGTAATTGTTGTTTGGTAAAAATTAAGATTAAGGTGTGAATTTTCTGTTCTGTTATTGTTTTTTTCTCCATTTTATCAATATGGGTTCATGATTATGTTGATGAATTGTGTTTCTTTTGCTTGTTTTTTCTAATATGTGCATTACTTGTTTAAGACGTGTTATGGTTTTGAATAATTATGGGGTTCTTGTAATGTTTATGCTTAAAGGAATCTCTTTTCCTTCTTTTTCTCTAGAAAACACACTGTTAAAGTCACTTCTTAATATCTTTCTAATGTGGGCTTTATCCTTTTCCTAGTTTCTTTTGTGTCTTCTTCTATTTTCCATATGGGTTCATGAATATGGTGAGGAATTGTGGTTTCCTTTAGTGTAGGCTTTCTATTTTGTGCAATGCTCGTATTTAAGATATGTGTTGTGGTTGCGAATAAATTTGAACTTCTTTATAATGTTATTATTTCTTGGACTAAGATAAATTTAACGATATTTCTTTGACATGCAAAGGGAAAAGTTTCTTGATCAAATTGTTGGAGTTCAAAAGATAAATGCTGCTATGAATTTTGTATGGGGAGGTGTTGTAACGACCGGAGCCTCTATGCCCAAGTCGCTATAATATACATATTGTCCACTATGAGAAAATCTGTGTTTATCTAAGCACTTGTGAATTCTATGACGCACCACAGGATTCGAACTCAAAACCTTTGTTTATTAGAGAGTTAAGTTGAATTTTGATACCAATGAGGAGGCTCGGATCGTAATAG